GCCAACATGCATTTTATGGGATGAGAAACTGAGGCCCGGAGGGTGAGGTAAAGGACTTGCCAGCGCAGAGCCAGGACATCAGTGCTGTGCCCTTCCTACTTCACTATTCCTGGCCCAGGCAAAATCAGGCGTCAGATCCAGATGACCTCTGACCCACTTGCTTAAAGTCAATAATCCGATAAAATTCCAAAAAATATTTTTTATTGAGAATGTGAAAGAATATTGACTTGTAGTTGGGGTCACAAAGCTTAACACAGAGAGAAGGAAAGGTCAAATCTCAAGGACTTGGCTGGCCAATGGAGCTGAGTCTCAGCTCTGGAAGATGCTGCCAGGGACGAATGGACTGATAGCAGCAGAAGGGACAGATGAAGTGAGAATTATGCCCCAGGAGGGATACTCACAGAGCTTGGCGTAAAGAAGACAGAAAGGGGGGAAGCAAATGATCTCAAAGGGTTGGAGGAAAAAAGGGGATTCTTTTTTGACACGTGAATAACTTGTCAGTAATGTTAAAAATCCACACCTTTTACCTCAATTGTACTGCTACTATATAACCTTCACATTCTCTTATCACAATATATATACCATCTATCAAAAACAAAGCAAAAGGGAACCAGCAGTTAGTGTAATGACTATGTCGCTGGACTCCCACGTAGTTGACCACGGTTCGCATCCTGGACTCGGTGGCTTAAAACTCACGCCGGGCGCGTGTGCGTGCGTGCGTGCCCAAGATCCTGAGAGGAGAATGGAGGAGAAGGGATTGCGGAGTGACCATCCCCTCTGGGGGGTGATTTCTCGCTTTCTGTCTCTATGTCTCTCTCTGTCTGTCTGGCGAGCGCGCACGCCTTATAGCAAAAACCTCTCAAAAAAAAAAAAGTCAAAACAAAAATCAAGCAAAAAACTAGATATTACAGTCTCATCAGAACAAAATCTCAGTAAATGTCTAAGGAATACAATTATTGCATTTTCTCACCAAGAGATAACCACTGTTAACACTTTGGGGTAGGTCTTTAAAAGCATATATGGGGCCAGCAGATGGCATAGCGTTTATGTCACTGAACTCCCACATAGTCGACAACAATTCAAGTCCTGGACCCTGTGGGTTGAAACTCACGTTGGGCATGTGTGAGTGTGTGCCCAAGATCCCAGGAGAGTGAAGAAGGGATTGAGATTTGGCCATACCCTCTGGGCAGTGATTTCTCACTTTCCCTCTCATTGTCTCTGTCTTTCTCTCTCTCTGTGAGTATACATGACCTAAGGTAAAAATCTCTTTAGAAAAAAAAAGGCTTTAAAAGCATATATATATATATATATAATAGTAACTTTTACAACTACAATTCTAATCATTTTTCCCACAGTAGAAAGGTCTGCCCTACAAAGGCTTAAAGGCTTCTTGGTTTTTCTTCCAGATATAGAGTCTACATGCAACAAATTAGCCCCATCTACCTTCCCCAAGACAGGTTTTCTCAGGCCAGTTTGGTCTGGTAGTTAAGTGGTTATATACCACACAGCCAACCCCAAGGTTTAAGTCCTGGACCGGGTGGTTTGAGAAACACACTGAGCAAGGTATTTTGGAATGACCAATTCTTATAGAGGGAGACTTTCTCTCTCTCTCTCCATCTCTCCCTTTCCTGTGAGCACGTGCACCTCCTGGCAACATTACACACACACACACACACACACACATAAACACACACACAAAATAAGTAGACAAACTTTTTGGAAATTTTATTTCAGAACAAAGCCACCTCTGTTTTTTATTGTTTTGCTTTGTTTTGTTTTGTTTTGTTTTTTATCCACAAACAGGGTTCATACACAAACAGGTGAGCTACTTGAGTGAGGGAAAAGAGTTCTCCTTACACATATAAAAATATATGGAAAATTTGTTCTTTCTCAAATTTTTATTGCATTTTATAGTGTATGTAATATATTAGTGTAATAATGTATGTATAAAATTTATAGATAAATAAACATACATGGCCACACCCTTTTTGCTGTTAGAGAAGTGCAATGAAAAATCTTGGAGACCACCTTTCCAAAGGTGAGGTCCCATATGTTGCAGTCAGTTATTATTTACTGCTTCCTGTTCAATTTCTTCATAGTTCTTTTAGTAAATTAATCTTCATACTCAAAACTATGTAGTTTGTCAAAATAAAATTATTATCAAAGGAAAGAATTAGAGTCTCTCAAGAAGCATTTTTAAAGTTTCCCTTTGTATGTCTCACCTGGGCTGGACTGTGGCAGGTGTCATGCTGGGTAAAGTCTCTTTACAATCTAAATAATGTATAGCGATTAAATGTATAAATAATAATTAAAATTAATAAACTAAAAAATAATAAAAGAAAGGAAAGACAGCAACGACAACAACAAAAACCAGTTTCTCTCAGATCACACAGGGAAATCAAAGCAGTTCTCTCTTAGCTAATATGAAACTAAAATTAAATTTGAACCAATGTCATTTGACACCAGTAAGTCTTTAAAAGCATATATATATATATATATAATAGTAACTTTTACAACTACAATTCTAATCATTTTTCCCACAGTAGAAAGGTCTGCCCTACAAAGGCTTAAAGGCTTCTTGGTTTTTCTTCCAGATATAGAGTCTACATGCAACAAATTAGCCCCATCTACCTTCCCCAAGACAGGTTTTCTCAGGCCAGTTTGGTCTGGTAGTTAAGTGGTTATATACCACACAGCCAACCCCAAGGTTTAAGTCCTGGACCGGGTGGTTTGAGAAACACACTGAGCAAGGTATTTTGGAATGACCAATTCTTATAGAGGGAGACTTTCTCTCTCTCTCTCCATCTCTCCCTTTCCTGTGAGCACGCACACCTCCTGGCAACATTACACACACACACACACACACACACACACACACACATAAACACACACACAAAATAAGTAGACAAACTTTTTGGAAATTTTATTTCAGAACAAAGCCACCTCTGTTTTTTATTGTTTTGCTTTGTTTTGTTTTGTTTTGTTTTTTATCCACAAACAGGGTTCATACACAAACAGGTGAGCTACTTGAGTGAGGGAAAAGAGTTCTCCTTACACATATAAAAATATATGGAAAATTTGTTCTTTCTCAAATTTTTATTGCATTTTATAGTGTATGTAATATATTAGTGTAATAATGTATGTATAAAATTTATAGATAAATAAACATACATGGCCACACCCTTTTTGCTGTTAGAGAAGTGCAATGAAAAATCTTGGAGACCACCTTTCCAAAGGTGAGGTCCCATATGTTGCAGTCAGTTATTATTTACTGCTTCCTGTTCAATTTCTTCATAGTTCTTTTAGTAAATTAATCTTCATACTCAAAACTATGTAGTTTGTCAAAATAAAATTATTATCAAAGGAAAGAATTAGAGTCTCTCAAGAAGCATTTTTAAAGTTTCCCTTTGTATGTCTCACCTGGGCTGGACGCTGGCAGGTGTCATGCTGGGTAAAGTCTCTTTACAATCTAAATAATGTATAGCGATTAAATGTATAAATAATAATTAAAATTAATAAACTAAAAAATAATAAAAGAAAGGAAAGACAGCAACGACAACAACAAAAACCAGTTTCTCTCAGATCACACAGGGAAATCAAAGCAGTTCTCTCTTAGCTAATATGAAACTAAAATTAAATTTGAACCAATGTCATTTGACACCAGCTATGAGCAATGTACAGTGGAAAAAATTTAAAAATATAATAGAGCTATGTATTTTTTAAAATCATAAAATGCATCTACATAAATTGATAGGGAAAGTCAGTTAATACTAGAAAGTAGAGTATCCTGTTTTGTTCTTGACACTTACTGAAGATCACACATTTAATTCATACAAATTCAGTTACTGGGTAAAGTCATTGTGCATTTACAAAGATTTATATTAAGAAGTCTAATTAAAAATGTAAAAATGTGATGTTAACTCAACTATTAATAACATTCTTCAATGTAAGTAGTTGTCACTAAAGTACACAAAATTGCTATTTTTTCTTTCCTTTTTTTTTTTTTTTTGGAGAGGTTTTTGCTATAGGGCACATGCGCTCACCAGAAAGACAGAGAGACAGAGAGACAGAAAGCAAGACATCAGACCCCCAGGGGGAATGGCCACACTGCAATCCCCTCTCTTCCATTCCCCTCTCAGGATCTTGGGCATGCACGCACATGTGCTCAGCGTGAGTTTAAGTCACCGGGTCCAGGACTCAAACTGTGGTCGACTACATGGGAGTCCAGTGACATAGCCATTATGCCAACTGCAGGTCCTGCTCAATGACTATTCTTTTAATAAGAATGAGAACATAGTATGATATTTTTATCTACCATGTTACCTTGCACATGCAAATGTTTTTATCATAAATGGTAGAAAGGCATAGTAACTAACAGCTATTGAACACATGCTATGGACCAGGCACTATTCTAAGTATTTCATTTATTCTAACTCTTTTAATCCTTGCAACAATTCTTAGGCATGTACCATTATTTCCTCCAAATTACACCTGAAAAAGCTGAAGCACAGTGAACTCAACTAAGCTGCTCAAGTTCACATTCCTAAGAACTGCAAGATATAGAATGTGATACTTGGCAGTATGACAGACTCTTGAGTGTAACTGTCCTATTTATTAAAAACTTCAAAGTTACAAACACACTGTATAAACAAATACTTTTAGAATGCAACGGTCATGCTGGGATATAGAGATGAAAGTCAAGAACATGCTGTAACTTTAAAAAGAAGAGAAAAGAAAAGATTGTGTGCATCACATTAGGTCGTTAAGAAAGTCATTACATATTTTTCCTGTGTTTTTCTGCAAAAATGCATCATGACTTTCCCAATGACCCAACATATATTTTTGTGCTTATGAGGATGTAAAAAGTACATAGCTATGTTTAATAGACAATGATACCAGGCTTGCCTTTGCTCATGTACTCTCATAATCGTATAATATTATTTCAATTTCTGTTTCACTTTGCAGGAAAGTTTCTGATCTGATCTTAGAAATATTAAATCATGGACCAAGAAAATAAATCAGGGGTAACTGAATTTGTATTACACAGTCTTTCCGGTTCTCGAGAACTACAACTTTTCTATTTTGCATTTTTCACACTTTTTTATTTATCTATTGTGCTGGGAAACCTTCTCATTGTGCTCACAGTCATCTCTGAACCTGTGTTACACACGCCCATGTACTTCCTACTCAGTAACCTCTCCTTCATTGATGTGTGTCTGTCCACATTTGCCACCCCTAAAATGATTGTTGACTTCCTCATGGAGCACAAGACCATCTCTTTTGAGGGTTGCATGGCCCAGATATTCTTTCTTCATGTCTTTGCCGGTGGTGAAATGATGCTCCTTGTGGCCATGGCTTATGACAGATATGTAGCCATATGTCGACCCCTACATTATGCAGTCATTATGAGTACACGTAAGTGCATAGGCCTCGTGGTGGGCTCCTGGCTCATTGGGGTTCTGCACTCAATAAGCCAATTGGCCTTCACAGTCAATCTTCCATTCTGTGGCCCCAATAAAGTGGACAGTTTTTTCTGTGACCTTCCCTTGGTAATCAAGCTTGCCTGCACAGATACCTATGTTCTCCAGGTACTGATGCTTTCAGATAGTGGTCTAATGGCCATGCTCTCCTTTGCTCTCTTGCTGATCTCTTACACAGTCATCCTGGTCACTGTGCGACGTCGTTCCTCAGTGGGCATGGCCAAGGCACGGGCCACCTTGACTGCCCACATCACTGTGGTGACCCTCTTCTTTGGGCCCTGCATCTTCATTTATGCTTGGCCTTTTAGCAACTTACCAGTAGACAAGGTTCTTTCAATATTTTATACTGTTTTCACTCCTCTTTTAAACCCATTGATATATACCTTAAGAAATAAGGAGGTGATCTCAGCAATGCGGAAACTAAGAAGTCGACAAGTGAGTTCCTGACTCTCAGCTCTCTCCTGTGACAAATGACAGCTCATAATAAAACCCAGGCCAGTGTACTTTACTCTGTGAGTCCTCTGAAATACCATAGGTCACACATTCCTTCTTTATATAGTGTTTGCTTTTCTACAATAACAATAAACAAATAAGCTAGGATAACAGGACAACGGTACTCCCAGTCTTTGACTTAGAAAATTATTATTATTTAACTAAGACTAAAATTATTTTTACTTAAAGTCTTTTATTTCCTTATTAAATATATCTATCAAGTTCATGTTTTTAAAGACGGCCATTAAGTGGTGCTATGGTGTTGCAGCACTCTGCAAGGTTGACCCACAGAAGTGGGTTCAGGGTTCTCTTCCCAAGACACAAATCCTCCCTTGATCTGGGGACAGTTGAGGTTGGGGAGGGCCAGTATTTGGAGGTGGGGGTCTTTGGAAGGTGATTTTGTTATGACGGTTGGACCCTCATGAGTAATTTTAATGAATTTATATAAGAGGCTTCCTCCCTTCTTCCTTGTGAGTTACAGAGAAAAGATGACCCAGAAAGTGGGACCTCACCAGACATTGAACTGTAGCTGACTTGATCTTAGACTTTTCTTCTTCTGGTACTGTGAGAAGAAGAAAAAAAAAAAGAAGAAGAAACACCATTGTTATAAGCCACTCACTCTGTGGTATTTTGTTATAAGAGCCGGAATGAACAGAGACAAACACATACCCAAGAAGTAGAAGAAATGGTGCAAATAACTTCAACTCTGACTTCTAGTATTTATAAGAGAAATTAATACTCCAAAGAGCAGCCATGCTTTTGAAATAGAACATATAGAGGAAATAATGGCATAAATTAAGATTTAATATAAATTAAATTTTAAATAATTTTAACTCACCTTTCTCTTATTTTTTCTTTGAAATATAGGATTAGGAAAAATGATGTAACATAGGACTATATAATATGATGATGGTAATAATGATGATAATAAAGCCAAGCATATTTAATGATCACTATATACTTTACAAGTTGTATCTTTACATGTCATCTCATTTGATCGTCATGAAATACCTGTGGGTTAGAAAAAGTATGTATTTATTCCGGACAGTATTGAAATTGACACAATCTGTAATTATTTCCATAAAAATACTTACACAGTTTGGGTATATTCTGGAATATAAACAAGTGTCTTCATGTGATCAGGATTAGTGGGAAGCTTTGGGAGAATAAAGTTGATTGGGAGTGGTTTCATGTCATGAAAATGATGACCACCACCAGTGTTTGGCTATAAAGGAAAATTTTATTTGTGCAAGAATGTGAGGTAAATTTGAGACCCTTGGTTAATAAATAAATTAGAAGTCTTTTGTATAAGTAAATAAAAAGGCAACTGAAATTATCCTCACTAGTCTAGCAAATGGACAGAAAAATTGCTTCTTAGAAATTCCAAGAGTACGAGACCAGCAGATGGCATAATGGCTACATTGCTGGACTCCCATGTATTTGACCATGGTTCAAGTCCTGGACCTGGTAGTTTAAACTCACACCGGGTGCATGTGCGTGCATGCCCAAGATCCTGAGAGGAAGATGGAGGAGAAAGGATTGTGGCATGGCCATCCCCCTGGGGGGTGATTTCTTGCTTTCTGTCTCTCTGTCTCTCTCTGTCTTTCTGGTGCGTGCACACACACCCTATAGCAAAAATCTCTCCAAAAAAAAAAAAAGAAATTATAAGAATAATCTTGGAATTGTCCGCATATGAGTTTAGAGTTTGAATTTATATGCTTCAAGTCAGAAGATCTTTAACCTGAAAAACCAGCATAAAATATATTGGTAACTCAAAGGGTTGATAAAATTTTGAGGACATTTGAAAAATCAAAGACAAAAATCTCCCTGTGGGTCAGATCCTTAAACCTAACCACACAGTATATTGACATTCAAGTCCTGTATTGTAAATAAAGTAAACATATCAAATTCAGAGAATGGTAGGTAAGAAGACATAGACAAGAACCCAGAAACGACAATGCTGTGAATGGCATAACATATTTCAATTGTTGAAAAAATGCAACTGTCAATCCAAAATCTCCTATCCAGAAAAAATATCCTTAATAAATAAAGAGGAAATGAAGTCATTCTTAAGAGAAGAAAAAGGAATATAGTTTGTCACCTGAAAAAAGTCCTAAAAAAGTGGTCAAAGAGGGGACAGCATGTGGTGTGGTAGTTAAGGCACTGGCCTCTCACATGACCCACTGCGGTTCAAATTCTGCACCTGAAAGTTTCAAAATCATGTACATGTGTGTGCATGCCCCAAATTCAAGGAGGCGAATGAAAAAGAAAAGATCATGGCATGGCCATCTCCACTAAAGGGTAATTTCTCACTTTCCTTTCCAATGGTGAGCACATGAACTCCATGGCAAAAATATTTAAAAAAAAAAAAAAGTTCATTTTTTATGCGGGTCACAGCCAGTCTCCGCCTGCTGGGCAAGGAACTCATTATGTAAGCCGGGAAGCAGGTGGTCAACAACCTGGACATGCAAAGGGAGTCTAGGTGCTGACACAAGCAGAAATACTTCACTGTGGGGACTCTGGACAATGTGTCAAGAAGGCTGAAGAAGGTTATTAGACTGTGACTGCAAGAGGGCAAAGGACCACATTTTGGGCCCATGGTTGTGGCAGGTTCCACTGAAAATCCTCATGCCCACACTGCTGACCCTCGTCCCTGCCTGAACCAGTAAGAATCTCTTTCTCTCGCAGTGTGCCTCTAGGGCCCTTCTTTAAGAAACTTAATTGTATATCCACTTTAAAGGAGTAACAGTTAAAGGAATTCTATCATTTATCACAGAGCATGAACCGGGGGATGCATTCAAAAGTGAGAGGAGGGACCAGAAACCAGAAATACTTTGTGTTATTACATTTATGTGTCGTATATTCAGTGCTTTAAAAAAGGCAAGAGTTTATAGAATTTAACCATTTTTTTCTGTGAAATTCCTCAAATTCCTCTAGTTCCTGTAAAAACAGAAACATTCCTAATGCTAACAGCAATGCATTTTTTATTTAATTTCTTTCTAAAAGAAAGTATTCAGAGCACATAGTATTGTAATTTGGTTAGAACAGAGACAGTATGTACAGTAGAATTCCATTTTATATTTTATTTAAAGTAAAACAAATATTAATATAATTTGGCAATAAAGTTTCTAAAGACAAATATTTTATAGTAATAGAATAATAGCATAATATACATTGTTTTTCTGTCCATTTCACAGATCCTATCAGCTTTTCCTTCAACATTAGGAAATTGACAGAGAAATACATTTAATTGTGTAAAAATGGTAGAAGAAAAATTAAAACATTTTAATAAATGTGAAAATAACTTTGATTTATTGAAAAACTGGAAATTATCTTGAGCTTGTTGTTAAAAACTGGACTTGAACACTAATTACATTACTATTTTGTAATCTTGAGCTGATTTCTTAGATTTTGATCAGATCACTGATCTCGTCAAAGTCTTTCAATCCTACCCATTACTTTTAGTATAATGAAGAAAAAAAAAAAAGCTTTTCAGCCTGGTTAATAAGGCACTGCTGATATTGCTCCCTACTTACAGCTCCACAATAAACCACACCACAATTTTTGTTCATTATAATTTCTGATTTACATACAATTTTGCATCTTTTTGGGATTCACTACGGTTTTATAAAGCATGGATATATGTTTAATACATGTAATACTGAAGGATCTAGACATAGTCATCATTTTCAACATTTAATATTAAATTACGTTGTGCATATTTAATGCCTTTCTACTAGTTTTTGGTGGGAGAAAGTATATACTTTATTGTCAATGACTTTTTAAAAAATTTTGTTTCAGGGTATATGTTCACTGGAGAGTGAGAGAGGGAGAAAGTGAAAAAGCACTCCCAGAGGTATGGCCATGCTGAAATTCCTTCTCCATCTCTTCTCAAGATTTTGGGCATGCATATATATATATATATATATATA